CCAGTAACATCTAATCTGCCCCTGGGCCAGCACCCCACCCCAAACACTGTAGGAGGGTGAGAGATGGGCCACCCAGGCCAGACTCCCACCAGTTCCCACTCTCAAGTCACACCACACTGCTTAGATTTTCCTAAATGCCCTTGTTTGTCGCCTGTCTGGCCTTTGTTCACTGTTGCCTCTGCCTGGGAGCACGTCCCCCCACCTCCCACCCGCCTGGCCAGGAGTGCTGGCCCTGCCTTCAAACACTTGGCTTGGGACTTCCCTGGTGATCCAGCGGTTGGGACTTCGTGCTTCCAATGCAGGTGGCTTGGGTTCAGCCCCTGGTCAGGAAACTAAGATCCCACAAGTAGGCTAAATAATAATAATAAGTAATAAAAATAAACAGAAACTTGGTTCGAGACCTCACCTATGAAGGCTTTTCTATCTTCCGCCTCCCCCGGGGTGGTGCCAGGCTCCCCACCTGGAATCACCTCCAGGAGACCCCGTCGCAGCACCCAGGGTGTTTCGCTGCGCTCCGTAGACCAGAGCCAGGTGGCCGGGCAGGTGACGGAAGAGGCTGGAGGTCTCCGAGGTGAAGTGACTCACCTGGGGACCCTCAGCTAATAAATTGCAGGGTTTATTCCAGCCTGGGTTTATTTCCTCGCGTCTTCCACAGGATTGAGTGAGAGCATACAAGCAAGGCCCTCGATCGGGGCGGGGCGGGGAGGAGGAACTGCACCACTATAATTAACAATATAATTATTACGGAGAGTTAATAACTTGTTGAGCCCCTGTGGTTCCAGGTGTCAGGGACGGAGCGAGAGCCAAGAAAGAGCCGTGCGCCTGCCATTTGCACATGCGTGGAAGGAGGCCACTAAACAAAGCAATGAACTTGTAAATTCAGAGACCGGGTTGGGCGCCTTGTGCCTCGGAGCAAGGGGCAAGGGGCAAGGGGATGACTAGGAGATCTGATCCTGGGGCGGGGCGGCGTGGGGACAGCAGGGAGAAGCTGCCTTCCCTGAAGCCCCAGGCTTTTGCTTGCTCCCACCCATCCACTCTTGAGGCCCTTGGACTGCAAGGAAATCCAACCAGTCCATCCTAAAGGAAATCAGTCCTGAATATTCATCGGAAGGACTGATGCTGAAACTGAAGCTCCAACATTTTGGCCACCTGATGCGAAACACTGACGCATTTGAAAAAACCCTGATGCTGGCAAAGATTGAAGGCGGGAGGAGAAGGGGACAACAGAGGATGAGATGGTTGGATGGCATCACTGACTCAATGGACATGAGTGTGAGTAAGCTCGGGGAGTTGGTGCTGGACAGGGAAGCCTGGCGTGCTGCAGTCCATGGGGTCGCAAAGAGTCAGACGAGACTGAGCGACTGAACTGGACTGACTGAGCTGAACCCACCCCCTGCAGCTTCCCCAAGGAAAGCGGGATGTTTGCTCCACTGAATTCCCCCTGGAGTCCAATCCAACAGGGTCTCATTTCCTTCCCGTGTTGTTAAACCAGATCTGAACATCAAGCATTCAAGAAAGCCCCGATCTGCAAATATTTAACTTTTCACCCTGCAGCTTCCGCCCCTCCCCTGGGAGGCCCCATTAAGCCGCCCTCCTTGGGGCCGACAGGCAGGGTGAGGCTGGGAGAGTTTAATCCCAGATCTTTCTCAGAGTTGGCATAAGCTGCTCAGAGTCAGGGCATGCAGGTTCAGCCTCCCTGACAAGCCCAACACATGGGGACGCACTGGCCCCTACACACACGTGTGCACACACACCCATACCTTTCTTCCACACACCACTACATTGCGAAACTCTGAAAAACAGTTCAGAATCTGCCCAATCACACCTCTGCTCCTGCAAAGAAAAATCCAACAGGACAAGGGTGGGGTGTGATGGTGGTGGGGGCAGCACTCCAGGGCCCTCCTGCCCCAACAACCCCCACAGGGTCCCATCTTGTCCTCAGTCAGGGGCTCCTCTCCCGATGACAGGAATGGCAGGGGCAGGGGGCATCATCTGAGAAAACCTGCACCCTCTCCCGGACACGTCTGATCCCATACCCCTCTTCTGTATTCACAGCCCGCCTGACACCGCACCCACCCAATTGCTGTGGCTATTAACATGATTATTAGATGCCCAGTGTCTACTGCACTGTCTTGGGCTCTGTCCTAAGCTCCATTACCGAGTTTTATACTTTGTATCAGTAGCAGAAGGGACAGGAAGCCACAGATGAAATGCCCTCCTAAGCCACACACTGCGCTAGCCACCTGTCCTGGGCCATCCAATTTGAAGCTTCCCGAGATGCTGAGAGCTCTGGGCTCTCTCCTACCGTGGTTGAGAGGAAACCTGCCCAGAGAGACTCAGTTACTTGCCCCACATCACACAGCAGTCAGGCAACAGAACTGGAAAATTCAGGTCAGGGGACTCCCAAACCCCTGTTCTTCCCACAGCCACCCCTTGGGGCCCAGGGATTAAGAAACATGGGCAGGTGGGGTCAAGGATCTCTTCTCTCATGTCTCTGGCTTTGGTCTCAAGGACTCTGGCCCCTGCGGGAGTTCAGTCCTGCAGCTGGGCCCCTTGCAGATCTGAGCAGACATCTGTCTGTGGGCTCTGAGCTCTTTGTAGGGAAGGCACCGAAAAAAAAAAAGAAGTGAACAGCCCAGCTAAGCTGAAATGTTCTCCTTGGAGAGGAAGGGAAATAAAATTTGATGAACCTCTGCATAATGTTCAAGTTATGAACGTGTAAAGTGATATTCCGCACATATGCTGGGAAGCATTTATCTTCTCCCACGTCGTTGGGGCCTGAGCGATGAGGGACCAGCAAACGGCAGCTTCTTGTTGATGAGGTGCATAGAGGTCCTGTCTTCCGCCTCAGCAAACCGAGGGCGTCTACGGATGCCCCGGGCTCTCCCACAGCCGAGGTGACACAGAGGCAGTGATAACGGGGCCACTTTCAACAGCAGGCTGCTCACTGGCCGCTGTAAACATTGCCTGAGTGTCTACTGTGAGTCCCGCACTCTGCCAGTCATTGCCACCTTCCTAGTGGACGCGCCCTGTCCACAGCNGGTGACACAGAGGCAGTGATAACGGGGCCACTTTCAACAGCAGGCTGCTCACTGGCCGCTGTAAACATTGCCTGAGTGTCTACTGTGAGTCCCGCGCTCTGCCAGTCATCGCCACCTTCCTAGTGGACGCGCCCTGTCCACAGCCATGGGTGAGGCGGGCCTGTGTGCCAAGCTGTCCTGAGCTCCCTGGGCACAACCGATTGGCCTGGACCTGGACACATGACCTGAGACTTTGATATAGGAACAAGATGCTGTATCTGCCCGATGATGGTGGGGCCTGGGCTGAATGCCTACAGGCAGGCAGGCTGAGGTCTCCAAAGAGAAGTCAGTCAATTACACACACACCCATCAAACTCATCCCCAGATGTTAAATGAGCACCTATTAGGTACCTGGTTCAGTACTTGGTGCTCAGAACATAGTGGGAAAGAAGATAGCAGAACCCTCCAGACCTCATGGTTTACAAACTATTAAACCAATGTGTATGTGTGAGTCACTCAGTTGTGTCTGACTCTGCAACCCCATGAACTGTAGCCCCGCCAGGCTCCTCTGTCCATGGAATTCTCCAGGCAAGAATACTGGACTGGGTTGCCATTCCCTTCTCCAGGGGATCTTCCCAGTAAGCAAATAGAATAATGTCAGGTTATGTAGGTGCTATGAAAAAACAGCAATGGGATAAAGAGGGACTAGGACAGGGTGTATGGGTGTGTGTGTGTGCAGTTTAGACTAAGTGATTAAGGAAGGCCACTCTGAGCAGGTAACATCTGAGCTGAGACCTTAGTGAGCAAGCCAGTGAGGATTCCAGGCAGGGACATAGCAGGTGCAAAGGCCCTGAGGTAGGGATGAACTTCAGTGTTCAGAGGCAGAAAAGAGGCTCAGGTGGCAAAGGAGAGATGAAGGGGTCTGTAGCAGTCAGAGCGTGGTCCCTGTGGGGCCCCCACCATGAGACTTCTTGGCTTGAAATGCTTCCATGTGCCCCATGGAGAGTCCGACTCCTCAGTGCTGCCCAGCTTCACAGTCTCCCTCCCTCTTTTCCTCCTCAGACTCTGTCATCAGTCTGGAGACATGTTCTGTTCCCTGCCACTTAAAGGCATTAGTGCATGTCCAATCAGCACCCCCAAAGCAGACTAAGATTAAAGATTTGGGTACAGGTAGTTTATTAAAAGGATGGTCCAAGGAAATATGATAACAACTTGCCTGTCCTTCAACTCATCCATCAACCATCCATCCAGCATCCATCCATCCAGCAGCCATCATTGATCCAGCATCCATCCATCCAGCATCCATTCATCCATCGTCCATCCAACCATCCAGCATCCATCATTGATCCAGCATCCATCCATCCACCCATCCATACATACATCTGTATACCCACCCAACCATCTATCCATCCATATATACACACATACATCTGTATATCCTTCCATCATCCATCCACCCAATCATCCATCCAGCCATACATCCACCCACCATTCACTGTCACCTCCTCTGTTCCTGGCTGGTCTGTAAGGACTCAGGTGATCAGATGTGGTCCCTGACTTTGAGGAGGCCTCCTCCTCTGTCACCACCAATCTCATGCTGAGTCCTTTTTTCACTCGGTGCTATGACAGAGCCCAGGCAGGAAACCTTAGTTCAGCATCTCTGTGACCCTACCTTGGTTCCAAAAATCATGGAGCCAAAGAGCAAACACTCAAACTTGATTCCCTTCTTAATTTCTCAGGCTCTGATCATATCAGACAAAGTCAACCTCATGCCCCATAAAATATTAAAATACCCCAGAAATTTCAACACAGTGGAGTCCAAACTCTGCCTCACCCATCCTGCCCCTCCTACTCCATGACCCCCCAGAACACTTCTGTCCAACCATTCTAGTTTTTCAACCGGAGCCCTGTGGCCACTGAGGTTGGGTCTTGGGCTTCCGATTCCCGGTGTTGGCCAGAGGTGACCCCATGTGCACTGACCTCTCCCGGAAGTACTTGATGGCCTCAGGGTCTATGAAGGTCGGCTCCTCCCGGTAGCCCTGCTCAAAGACCTTGCGCTTGTGCCGGAACTCAATGACCGTCTTGGTGTAGGAGTTGAGCGTGGTGACAGAGGCTGCCATGCAGCAGGTAAAGGAGCCCCACGCCAGGCTGCCAAGAGACGAGGAGAGAGATGCCACAGTCAGGGTGGGCAGGGGACAGAGAACCACAGCCACCAGACATCCAGACCTGAATCAGGGCTGCCGCAGAGAGAAGCAAGCCTTGGTCCCCATTCCCGGTCTGGCTTGGGAGGCAGCACTGTCTGGATATTGTGATACAGACATGACAGAGTTCATTACTGGGAGGCAAGAGTCATTCCATCCTCAGGTTGGCAACAGGGAAAGTGACCGGAACACAATCATGCTTGCACTGGGTCTTGGAGGATGAGTGAGAGTTTTCCAGGGGACCAGCATTCCAGGAAGACCGAAAAGCGTGTGCTAAGACATAGAGACAAGAGGCAGCAGGAAGCATTCCACCAAGTGTAGGGTGCCAGAGTGAGGGGGTATCAGGAAGTTAGTTGGAGCTGATGATGTGGAAGTGGATGGGAGCCAGTTTCCTGGTACCTGTTACTCATGAGTGTTATATTACCCTTGTTCACAAGTGACCTTGGCCAAGATGCTTCACCTGTCTACCCCACAGAGTACCACGTAACAGGGTTGTTGCAAGGATTCAAGGAGAGGATCCATTTAAAGTGACTTAGAACAGGGTCTGGAAATAGTAGGCTCTCAAGAAAGGCTTGCCTCATCACTGTCATCACTATTATCAACATCCTGACTACCCATTCTAGCTATCTTGGTTTCCAAGTTCTTTCTCTGTTAGATTAAGGCTCTCGGCTCACACTTCCCTCTGTGCACAGCTGGGGATTCTTGGCTGCGTTCATCGGATGTGGATGTTGAGCCAACCAGAGCCTGAGAACCTGTCCTATCCACATCTGGAAAGAAAGGAAGCGGGCTGTGGAGCTAGGAGAGTCAGCTGGCGAGGGTGCTGGTCTTCTCTGCCCGCCTGCCCATTCTAGACATTCCTGCCCAATTCCTCTGATCAAGACCATGCAGTAACATTCAGAACAAGGAGGGGGGTACCCTCCTCGCCCCAGGTATGCCTGGTGTGGCTCTCAGCCCCTAGTTCCCAGTCTCTTCCCTAATAACTGATTTCCCCCACATCAGTTTTATCGCTCCCAAGCCTGCACTGTCTCAGGGCCCCCAGCCTCCCCTTTCGCCTGCCACCCACTGGGTGTCTCCACATGACCACCCTCCTTCCTCAAGGTCAGTGTAGTCCACCTCCCACACCCGCTGCTCGTCTCCTTGTCAACCCCGGAGTGCCCAGAAGGAAAACAAGGGGGACCCTGAGGATTCAGCCTTTTATCTCAGGGACCACCCCCCCACCATCATCATATACCCCTTATCGCCAAATTGTTTAGTTAACAGTGGTCCCCAACCTTTTTGGCACCAGGGACCAGTTTTGTGGAAGACAATTTTTCCACCAACTGGGGGTGGGGGAAATGGTTTGGGGATGATTCAAGAACATTACATTTATTGTACACTTTATTTGTATTATTACATCAGCTCTACCTCAGATCATCAAGCATTAGATCCTGGAGGTTGGGGACCCCTGCTTTAGTAGATTGCCCTATTCTTTTATCAGGAACTAATTTAGATCTTCCAGAAACTCTGAGAATCTATAATAGGCAGCTTCAGAGTATCCATCTGGCCCCTTTAAGAAATGCCCTGTCCATCAAAGGACCCAGTAGGTGACCCCACCCTACTGTTCATAGATGATTGGAGGAGAGCTGAACATCTGGCCAACGCTGGTCCAATCAGATACTCTCTGTTTTGAGCAATGGATCTGAAAGTTCCAGCTTAATCTGGTATGTCTGTTTGAACTAGAGTGATGGACACCCATGCTTGAGGATGGAAAATGAAGAAGCAGGCTATTTCTGGAATTCCATGAGTATATGTCTGTTGGTTTGGCCTGACCAGCACCCATTCTGTAAAGGGACCATGACTGCCCTCCTCTTTGGTGATGCAATTTGTGTGGGGCTGGCTTCACCCCCACCCTTCAGGGGTGCCTGCATGACCCAGGCCTGGCCAATGTCCTTTCCCTCTAGCCACAGTAATTCAGGGACAAGCCTGGACACTCAAGTCAGCCTATTGAGACTCAACCCCAGGACTTTTGCTTATGCTATTGGAAAACAGGGTTCATCTTTTTTCCTGGGGTACCATGCTGGTGAGATTTGAGTCAGGAGCTGCTGGAGCCCATAAGGCGCCACCCCGCAGGCTGAGGATGAAGCTGACTCAGAAGGAAGCAGAGCCACAAAAAGGAGCTAGATCTTCGAAGCCATTATTCCTGGACTTGCAATTATATTGTAGGAGCCCAAATTCCTTTTTTGGATTTTTTTTTCCCCCTCAAGCCAGTCTGAATTGGGTTTCTGTCATTGGCAACAAAAGTTCTTATACAATTACTTTCTATAAATTCCCTTCTTTTGCATAAGTTCCTTTTGAAGTGATTTTCTAGTCTTTATAACCAGGGATCTTAACTGAAAAGCCTGCCAGGCTCCTCTGACCATGGGATTCTCCAAGCAAGAGTACTAGAGTGGGTTGTCATTTCCTCCTCCAGGGGAATCTTCCCAACCCAGGGATCAAACCTGCATCTCCTGCATTGCAGGCAGATTCTTTACCATCTGAGTCACCCATGGTAATACCTTAAAAATATAGTATCGGGCAGGATACTGACATCGATACAATCAAGATACAAAAAGGTTTCATCCATTACCACAGTGATCCCTCCTGTTGCCATTTTTACAGTCACACCCACATGCTTCCCAACCTCCAGCAGCCACTCATCAAGAATGTTATATTCATGGAACCATACAGTATGTATGTTTGGGATTGCCTTTTTTTGCTCAGCATAATTCTCTGGAGATTCATCCAAATTGTGTGTATCAAGCGTTTGTTCCTTTATATTGCTGAACAGAATTCCTAGAGCAATGTATGAGTTGTTCCACACCCTCACCAGCTTTTAGTGTTGTCACTATTTATTAATGTTAGCTATTCTGAGAGACATGTAGAAATATCTCACTGTGGCTTTTATTTGCATTTCCCTAATGGCTAATGGTGTTGAACATCTTTTCATTTGCTTATTTGCCATCTGTGTGTCCTCTTTGGTAAAATGGCTGTTCACGTTTTGTTTTTTTTTGCCTACTTTCTAATTGTATTGTTTTGCTGTTTTATTTACTGTTGAGTTTTGAGTGTTTTTCTATATCCTAGATACTGGTTCTTTGTCAAATATGTGGCTTCCAAAAGTTTCTTTCAGTCTGTAGCTTATCCTTTCAACCTCTTAACAAGATTTTTCACAGAGGAAAAGTGTTTAATTTTGATGAACTCCATTCTATCAATGTTTCCTTTGATGCTTTTGATGTCAAGTCTAAAAACTCTTTGCCAGGTATAAATCCCAAAGATTTTTCTCATGTTTTTTCTAAAAATTTTATAGTTTTACATTTTATATTGAGGGCTGTGATCTATTTTGAGTTACTTTTTATATAAGGTAAGGAGTTTAGATAAAGATTGATTTTTTTTTTCTATGACTATCAAATAGTTCCAGTACCATTTGTTGAAAAAGTTATTCCTTGTTCCACTGAATGGATTTACAGCTTTGTCAAAAATTAGTGGGCCATATTTGTGTGGGTCTATTTCTGGGTTCCTTATTTTCTTCCATTGATCTGTATGCCTATCCTCCCACCAATACTACACAGTCTGGGTTACTGTAGCTAAATACTAAGTCTTGAAATTGGGTAGACTGATTCCTCCCACTTTATTCTTCTCTCTCAAAATTGTTTCAGCCCTCCTAGTTCTTTTTGCCTTTCCTAACAAGTTTTAGAATAATCTTGTCTAAACCTACATGAAATATTGCTGAGATTTTAATGGGAATTGCATTAAACCTCTATACCAACTTGAGAATCAACATCTTTACCACGAACATGGTATATCTCTCCATTTATTTAAATCTTCTTTGATTTCTTTCATTAGCATTTTGTGGGTTTTGGCATGCAAATCCTATAGATGTTTTATGACTCTTTCACTTTTTGAAGTGTACATGGTATCACATTTTTTACTTTTGTTGTCCAACTGCTTTTGCTGGCTTACAGAAATATAATTTTTTTCTATTTTTATATTGTATCCTGACACCAAACTGAACTCATTTATTAGGTCTAGGCATTTTGGGGAGGCATAGACTTCTTAGATTTTTCTACATAGACAATCATGTCATCTGCAAATAGGTGTAGTTTATTTCTTCCTTTTCACTCTCTGTGCCTTTTATTTACTTTTCATGACTTACTACACTAGCAAGAACTTCTAGCACTATGCTGAGCAACAGTGGTGTTTACAGTCTTAGGGAGAAAGCATTCAATCTTTCAACATTAAGTATAATGTTAGCTGTAGGTGTTTGTAGATGCTCTTTATCAAGTTGAAGTAGTTTCTCTCTACTTCTACCTTTCTGCAAGTTTTTAAAATCATGAATGGATGTTGAATTTTGTCAAAAATTTTTCTGCATTGATTGATATGATCACGTCGTTTTCCCTTTATGCCCCTTAATCTTCTCCCATTAATAATATAATTGCCTTAAATATTTCCTCTGAGTAATTTAGAACCACATCAGGCCATGTTATAATTTTTGCTTCAATCATTATGCATGACAGAAAACTCAAGAGGAAAGGTAAAAATGTTCTTTTATTCCTAATGTTCCAAGATTTCTTCTTAAATTTTTTTTTTTCTATTTGAAGAAATTTTTTTGGCCATTCTTTCAGGATAGGTCTGCCAACAACTTTTCTTAGTTTTCCTCCATCTGAGAATGTTTTGATTCCTCCTTCCCTTTCCTAAAGGATATTTTTGCTAGAAACGGAATTCTAAATTGATGGCTTTTTTTCCTTCAGCATTTGAAACATCATATCACTTCCTTCTAGCTCCATTGCTTCTGATGCAAAACCCCCTGTTTAAACTGGTTTTCCCTACAGCTAAGGGCTTCCCAGGTGATGCTAGTGGTAAAGAATTTGCCTGCCAATTCAGGGGGTATAAAAAGATGTGAGTTCAACTCCTGGGTTGGGAAGATGCCCTGGA